CTCCCCCCGCCCCTGACACTGACTGCTATAACCCCCTCCCCCCCACATTCCCACACCCACCCTGTGTTTTAAGGCAAACTTTAATCGATTTATCTTACCATTGACGTGTTTTTACTTCTACCCCGTTACCATCTAATTGTACTGGCCCGACGAGAATTTATCAGAAGCTACGTATGCTCGCCACCTCGTCTTCTGGTTACAAATATATACCCTAAAATCCAGTGTGACTTATTATACATCGTCCCCATTGTTTAAAACCTCCTTCCCTTCCTGAATAATTACAAACTACCCATCGGCGATTTATTGAAGGTCCGTTATTTTTCGGAAATTGCTTTTTGTTTATTTCTTTCATTATCGCGCGCAGTCTCTTCGTCAAATCACAGCGTTCAATAAGACTTTTAGTAGAAATTTATCTATTTCCGGTATCTTCTTGCTCTCCGTCCTGCGTGTTGCCCCACCCTCAAAACCCCCTTTACTACCAGTCAATATATGACACGGTCCGCACTCTAGCTCAAGTTAGTTGGGCGTCCTACACTATATCGTTCACCTCTCATGAGCATCAATGTTATTTTTTGGTCACTAACAGATGATGCTTTTGTCAAAATTTTTTTCAAAGTTTAAAATTGCCATCTGTCTCTGGAAAACTGCGACAGTAAAAATGACATGAAAATGCCTTGGTTAGGTTGTAAACATTTCTGTCAAGTGAAGCGTTTTACTCGAAAGGCGAGAATGAAGAAGTCTTGGTCCAGAGAACGACTGACTTCGTAATATGTACGGGAAAATGCCCAAGAAATATCATGACATATGCAAAAAACAGAGGCGAAACCCGATTTTTTAGAGGCATAATAGCAAATATTATTATTAGAAACATTCTGACAGCGCTGTTCTGTTTTGTCTTTTGGAATTCCTTTTATGTAGAAATGAGCAACTTTAAAAGTAGACGTAATTATTAGAAGTGTCTATGTGATAGACATATTGACATGTGTTTTAAGACCCAAGTTCCTTGGGAATTCAAGGAAGTATGAACTCTCGATGGATTTATCACAACTTCCAGTTAACCCTGAATATGAGATTGAACTTGATTTCGTAAACGACTGAAGAACCGTCCTTGACTCTGGGTCTGTCCAGCGCGCCGGTCATCTAGTCAAGCAGGTCTATGTGAAACTTCGGTTTTCGTCTACCAACAAACACTTCAAGCCCCTTTGGCTTTACGGACATCCAGTTCAGGGGTTTAACTAAAAGTTGACAAAGTCGGCAGTGGTGAACATCCTTCACGCAACAAAGACGCACATACGATGGTCTTTTCTAAACCCACCACTCAACCTACGAAAAAGGCCAAAAAAGGAAAGTTACTTCAACCATGTAGAAGTGTTGAAGGCATTCGTTTGCAAGTTTCGGCTTGGAATGAAATACATAAGCCGCTCGAACAGACTTGTGTGCAGTCCACGCTGAAGTAAACATCACACTACTGCTGGACTGCATGCTCGTTTTCGAAAACTTCCAAATTACCGTGAATACCTTTTTGAGCAAAGAGGTCTCATGCAGCTCTGGAAGTAGGCATGTCCCCCACCAGAATAATTTCCAGTGTGATATTTTCATTAAGGGTGCACTGGTTCTACGGTTGTCTTATGTGATGCCCTCTCGACGTAAGGAAGTGGAATTTGGGTTTGGATACCGTGCAGCATGAAATCACTCACATCAAACACTCCTCGACCAACTGTCGATGATCGTTTTCCTGGCGTTGCTTGACGGCCTCCAATTCTCCCTTTAGCGCTGATAGTCTCTGCGTGTTTTTCATCTCCAATTTCGTTTTCGCTTCTTCCAAATACTTCTTTTCACCTGCCAATAATTCACTGAGTTTTCGTCTAAATGAGCAAAACGAAGAGCGTTACTTCGGGGAAATTACACTTGCCTTCTATCTTCGAGTAGGGCCTGATAGGCGCGTTCTTCCCGCCTACATTTATCATTGAAGCGTCGTTGGTATCTGAATTTCGTATCCTTTTCACTCCACTGACAGCGAAACTCATGCCCTGCGGCCTTATCCCAAAGATCTTCCACAGAGGGTTGCAAATTTGAGTGGGGGAACTGTGTTTTATAACCCTTCCAGCGGGATTGTCTGGGGCCGCAGACAATGTGTTGAAGACAAGGTGGTGGTATGTCAGTTAATCCCTGCTTTCGACCGCCCATCCAGAACTAAAAGTAGGATAAGTAGACGATCTGGCCTAGAGTGCGGTTTTTGTCTTCATGCCAAAGCTGGTACAGAATATTATAGTGCTTCGAAGTTTTGCGGCCACAAGACAAAAGTGTGCGGGATTGTTGACTATCACTGCAAATCATCGTGCGGTTTTGGTGGT